TTTTATTAATAAAATGGAAGTAAAATTCTAAATGAAATGTTATTTTGAATCAAAAAAATAAAAATATTTTGACTTTTTCTGAAATTTTCTTTTCTTTTTCAGCTGAAACAATTTGGCACATTTGACACAAATTTGCTAGATGCTGCAATTTACCCAATTACGGATTGGTAAAAAAAAACCCCATCATCTAAAAAATGTAACTCAGCTCTACTGCTATAGTTAAACCAGTATAGTTATACTGGCAGGGGAGAGCGGTGGGCGGGGGGGCTGAGTGGGACGGGGGGACGGGATCCCCTCCCCACCGCTCTCCCCTGCCAGTATAACTATACTGGTTTAACTATAGCAGTAGAGCTGAGTTACATTTTTTAGATGATGGGGTTTTTTTTTACCAATCCGTAATTGGGTAAATTGCAGCATCTAGCAAATTTGTGTCAAATGTGCCAAATTGTTTCAGCTGAAAAAGAAAAGAAAATTTCAGAAAAAGTCAAAATATTTTTATTTTTTCGATTCAAAATAACATTTCATTTAGAATTTTACTTCCATTTTATTAATAAAAAATGTAAAAAAACAAAAACCACACAAATGAAACAAAACATTTTGTTTCAGGTCAAATAAAATATTTTGTTTGACCTGGAATGATTTGTTTTTTTTTTCTGTTTTTGCTTAGGTCAACCTGAAACAAATATTTTATTTTATTTTTTGTTAGTTTTTGGTTTGGCCACAGAACTGAAAAAGTCAGTTATTTGCACAATTCTACATACCAATATAATTATACCAGTATAACTGGTAAAACTTTCCTAGGCAGACAATGCCGTAGGCTGCTATTAATGTATCCAATGTTAGCTACTCTTCATGAGGGGACAGAAGAGCCCCCCTCTCAAGACTACAGTGAGGAAGGGGATATTCGTTCCGGTTTCTCTGTGTTTTATGAATGATGCAGAGACAATAGGAAGTGCTGTCTGGCTTTTTAATATATTTATAGTTTATATTTTTGAGTCACAGAAAAAAAGAAAGTGCAAGGGAAGTGTTGACCTTTAAGTAAACTACAGTTAGACCGTCACACAAGTAGAAAGAATAATACAATAAACAGGGATTAAATGACTAAGATTTATACAGGAAATATATATAGTACAAAGGATAATAAGTTAGATGATTCACCTGTCTGCGTATCAGATTCAGCAAAGTTTTGGCCGTGTTCCCATGTTTCATATTAGTAAGTTTATGCCTTGTCAGGCTACCACACGCTTTATTTAACAATACCTGGGATTAGTTGCATTTTGTTCCTGAGCTGCAATAGTGAACCTCACATTGATGGTTTTGGTTGCTGGATGTTCATTGTTTAATCCAAGTAAAGGAACAGACACAAAGGGCCAAAGTTAGGCATGGCATATGCAGGTGCAACGCCATTTAAACCAGTGGCGTTGTATCTGCTTACCTCAGGGCTGAATTTGACCCCATGATTTTTGCAAGGACAGCCCAAGACCAAATTGTTTTATTCTCACTAAAGGTTCCCAAAAAATCTAGGCCCAAATTCAACTGTGGTTTAACTTCTGAGGAGTCAGTAACCTTATAAACAGGGATTACATTTGCCCCTGGACTCTACAGCAATCCCAGCCGGTATGTTATAAATAACAGCTGTTGAGTTACATAGGCAGCATGGCTCTGTTTAGTGTTTCCCATTTTATCGACTTTGGGATTTTAAATGGGAGTGCTGTAAGATTTGCTGTTGCATCTTAAAATGATCAGCACATAGTGACATGATAGAGGTTTATCTCCGCACCTTATCCTGAAATCTCATTTGACTGCTAGTATCAGTTCTAAAACTATTATAATTTGTTCTTATTTATGTGGCACCAAAGTGGGCTAGGAGCTTTGCAAATGTGTGAGAAGAGAGCTCCCTGCCCTGAAGCATTCATAACCTAAGAAGACACAAAAAGGTATGAGAAAGGGGGGGAAGCTATACAGCATAAAAGAAAAGGGGCCGAACTGAGGCTTCTGACATATTGTTGGTTCCATGATTTTTCCAATATGGTTTCCAGTGTGTTCCATTTTCCCAGTTATCACTATAGCTTTGGCTGTGTTGGGCTTGTTTCTTAAGTAATACATCAAATATTTTAATTATCGATTGTTCTGGTTGGCATCTTGAATCCAAAGTTCATGTGTCGTTAAGTCTCTGCCATAATTTCTTTACAAACTTCAAAACACTTAGATAAAGTTATTTCAATCTCAAAAAAGTGTTTCCTACATTGCTCTTCTGTGGAAGCTTTAGCTCAGATCAACGCAGATCTGGTAGCTCATGCCTGGAACACATTATCTGGGGCTGGCACACAGCTCGTAGGAGTCTGGGGAATGTATGAGGATGTAACGCCCGTCATCCCGTGGCCTGGGCTGACCCTCAGGGATATGGAAAGTGAAATGCTGCAGGAGGGTTGTGAAGAAGAGAAAGAGCTCCTTCCTGGCCAGCTGCTCCCCCAGACACATGCGACGACCTGTAAAAGAGAGAGTGAGGAAGGAGAAAGAGGGAGACCCCAAAAACAAAATGGTAAGTATCTTTGATACCTGGAAAGATACTAGAGCAACTAATTAAACAATTAGTTTAATTAGAGGATAATAGCGTTATAAGGAATAGTCAGCATGGATTTGTCAAAAACAAATCATGGCAAACCAACTTAATTTCCTTCTTTGATAGGATTACTGGCCTAGTGGATAGGGAGAAAGCAGTAGATGTGATATATCTTGATTTTAGTAAGGCTTTTGACACAGTTCCATGTGACATTCTTATAAGCAAACTAGAGAAATGTGGTCTAGATGAATTTACTATAAAGCGGGTGCACAACTGGTTGAAAGGCCATACTTAGTCAGTAATTATCAATGGTTTGCTGTCATATTGGGAGGGCATATCTAGTGGGGTCCTGCAGCAGTCAGTCTTGGGTCCGGTCTATTCAATATTTTCCTTAATGACTTGGATAATAGAGTAGAGAGTATGCTTGTAAAATCTGCAGATGACACCAAGCTGGGAGGGGTTGCAAGCACTTTGAAGGGCAAGTTTAAAATTCAAAATGATCTTGACAATTTGCAGAATTAATCTGAATTCAGCAAGATGAAATTCAATGAAGACAAGTGCAAAGTACTTCACTTAGGAAGGAAAAATCCAATGCAAAACTACAAAATGGGAATAACTGTCTAGGTGGTAGTATTGCTGAAACGGATCTATGACAAGGGTGGCTATACCATGGCTCGTGAGACACATGTGGCTCTTTTACAGTTAAAGTGCAGCTCGTTGAGCCTCCCACAACTCCCCCCCCCCATTCTCCACCTGCCAGACTGCAGGGGGGAGTTCAGGATCTCTTCCTTGGAGTGGGGTTCTGGGGCAGGAGCTTCTGCCCAGTGAGAAGGAGGGTCTTGGGGCTTCTCCCCACAGGGTGTGCCAGCTGGGGCTCGGGGCGTCAGCAGGAGTGGGGCTGAAACTTCTGAAGATTGTCGTATGTGGCTTGGAGAGTCAGTAAGTTTGGCCATCCCTGGTCTATGGGTTACAGTGGATCACAAACTGAGTAGGAGTCGTAAATATGATGTAGCTGCAAAAAAGGCTAATATGATTCTGGGGTGTATTAACAGGAGAGTTGTATGTAAGACACAGGAGGTAATTGTCCCACTCTACTCAGCACTGGTGAGGCCTCAGCTGAAGTACTGTGTCCAGTTCTGGGCACCACAATTTAGGAGAGATGTGGGCAAACTGGAAAGAGTCCAGAGGAGAGCAACAAAAATAATCAAAAGTTTAGAAAACCTGACCTGTGAGGAAAAGTTGAAAAATCTGGGCTTGTATAGTCTTGAGAAAAGAAGACCAAGTGCCAACCTGATAACAGTCTTCAAATCTGTTAAGGACTATTATAAAAAGGACGGTGATCAATTGTTCTCCATGTCCACAGAAGGTAGGACAAGCAGTAATGGGTTTAAGCTACAGCAAGGGAAATTTAGGTTAGATATTAGAAAACCTTTTGCGCTCTAGTGTAATTCCAAGGGAGGTCAAGGAGTCCCTACCAGGAGCGGCAGAAGAGCCTTAAAAGTGTGGGGACCACCAGCGCCCGAACTGTGGCCCTGCCCCTGCACGGCCCTTTCCCCTGAGACCCTGGCCCCCCACGCTGCCCTTTCCCCATGGGAGCCCCACCCCTGTGCCGCCCCTTCTCCCCAAACTCCTGCCCTCGCACCACCCATTCCCCTGAGGCCCTGCCCCCTCTCGCTCCTCTCCACCCCCTCCCCCGTTGCTTGACCTTACATCTGGTAAAAAGTGGAACCATGTCCCCTACCCCCAGCGCCCTGGGTCCCCATCATTGGAAGTGTTTAAAAACAAGTTGAACAAACACCTGTCAGGGTACTTGGTCTTGCCTCAGCGCAGGGGGCTGGACTTGATGGCTTCTTGAGTTCCATTCCAGCCCTGAATGTTTATGATTCTAAGTCACTGGGAGCAGGACTCCCACCCCATGAACAATGAATTGAATCAAAGGATCTGCCCCACTTCCCCACTCTGCCATATATCATTGACAACTGCAAACATCTAATTCCTGAAAGACATGAATGCACGTATTGCCTTACTGGAACAGACCTATGCTCCATCTAGTCCAGCATCCTCTCCCTGATCGTGACCAGTACCAGAGAATTCTGAGGTAGGTCCAAGAAGCCCCATAATGAACAGTTAATATTTGGCTTGTGCCCTGCAGCATGAGAACTGATGCCCTTTATTCATTTTAAAGATAAAGACATCTGTGCCTCCTTTCCACAGGGACGGCCTCACCCACTGCTCTGCCCTTGGATTTACCTGCAGAGAAAGGCAGGAAGGCCTCTCGTTTCACAAACTGCCCATCTGCATCCAGGAAGTGCTCCGGGTAGAACTCGTGGGGTTTCTCCCAAACGGTTTCATCCTTCAGCACCGAAGACAAAACTGCAATGATGGTGGTGCCCTAAACATTCCCATTAATGCCCCCAAAACAAAACCAAACAGGTTATTTCAGGAGAATATAAGCCATTGTCAACTTTACCTTATGCTTCCTTTTACTATCATCTGTAGAAGCCAGGCAGTTCTCTGTTGCCCTATTAATCAGATAATGGCACAACTTTCCATTGGAAAAGGCCTATCAATATAACAAGGTTTGTATATGTAAATGAGATTTCCAATGATTTTATCAGGACAAAATTTTCTCCCACTCCAGATCTCCCTAAACTTTCAAGCAAATGAATTCTGTATAATGAGATTCAGTTGAATCTATACAGTTGGATCTACTGGTAGAAATACAGCTCTCGGTGAGGTTCAAGTCCTTTAGAATAGCACGCTACATAACCAGCCTAGGACTAAGTAACTATGTATCCTAGCAATATCCCTTAGCAATCTGCATCTGGGCTGCATTAATTTTCCACGGGTCACAATTGCTGTACCTTAGGGATGAAAAAGCCTTGAACTTCGGTGTCCCGGTACGTCGTGCGAGGCACTCCAGCAAAAACAACATCACAATAACGCTGAGTTTCATAGATCACAGCATTGGTGTAAGGCAAGTTCACTTGGTCCTCTATATCAGGTGACCTGTCCCTGCCAATCACCTTATCAATTTCCTCATGGACTCTTCCTGGAAATATAGAAACACTTTATATAGCAGGGAGTATAACAGAGTAGATGTAATAGACTATTAAGGGTCTGATCCAGTTACCACTGAAATCAGCGGAAACATTCCCATTAACTTCTCTTCTAAAGAGACCCTCTATCAACCCTTTATATTTGGCACTAATAAGTATTCCCAGCCAAGAAACAGGTAACACATATTCAATGTAAATAAGTTTCCATGAGTTATGTCTATATTGGACACTTACACTGGCTACTGTTTTGTTGACACGTGAAGAATTCTAGTAGACTGCAGAGGCACAATTTCCATAACAGACACAGGGACAACCGCTGTGGGGAGTGCGGGGGGATACCTCCCTCCAGGATGTTGTCCTCCCCACCATGGTGCCCTCTGTCATGGAGTTAAAAATGCAAAAGCTTGTCATCTTTCCCTTAAGATGTGCCCTTCTGCTGCTGCCCACCTCCTCTTAATGCCCCCCAGCACATAACCATTTTTAGCCTCTTCCTCCACACTGTGCTCAGGGCTGTACCAGTGTAAATATTACAAACTGCTGTGCTGCAGCCAGCCAAGCCTACAGGTGAAGGCAGAAGCACAGAGATTGCAGCACTACTTAGGCCTGTACACTAGGAAATCAAGTCAGCATAACTACCTCGCTCACAGGTGTGAAAAATCCACACTGGGAAGCCTCAGAATTTCAGAAGCCCCAGGAGGAGGTGGGGGGCGGGGAGGGGAGGGGA